TCGTACATAGGCGATAAGCAACCTACCGCGTGAAATTCCTGAGTTATTGAATTTTGCCGATCTACTGCCTTGGAGAAGTAGTTTTATGCAGTAGTACGAAATGCTTTTCATAATGCGCAGATTATTTAGAATTCTCCAGTGACAATTTATTTGATACTATCAACAGAGACTTTTTGCAGGTCAATCTTGAGACTTTTATACGCTACTAGTTGACTTCTACGTCAACAGAAGAATGTGCGAAAATACACTTCTCGGCACAAGTACATAAGGGGGCAGAAATACGATTAAAGTCGTTAGACGCCACATTCGCACATGGTATGCATGCCATATGAGGACCAGTAGTCCGCGGAAACAGGCTTACCAATAGTAGCTTGCCAATAGCTTAATAGCTTACCAATATTCTATCCCTTTAGCTGCTTACGAGTTTGGTTTGCAAAGTGTCTCATAACGACTGTAGGACTTCTGGTGGATTTGATTGAGCAGAACTTCTGATAGAATAAAATTTCTTCCATCTATTTATATATGTTTTTTAGAAGTAGCACACAAGTACATTCGGCTCAATATTTATTTTTTCGAAAAAACATTCAAAAATTTAAAAATAAGCAAAGTAGTTTAACTGTCAACCCGTTATACACGTAAAGCAACTGACTTGTACATTCTTAGAAAAGTAGAGTTTCATGCTGAGAATAATTATCTACTGATGGATACTCTCACACCATCCAAAGAGGATGCTTCAGATTTTTGTATGAGACTCCAGAGCTCAGTTCCACTTGCGGTAGTTCGGAATATAGAGTAAGATTAAGTGGCTTTGGCTTATTCTCCCTTTCGCGAATTTCCTGCATTGTAGTTTCAATGGGCTCATGTAATCTATAATAATTTTTGATTCAAGCATACCTTCAAAACGCAAAAGAATGCTGCAGGTTGAAAGTCAAGGTGCATCTTATGAGCAATCAAATGGGGTTGCTCTAGCATATTGGCCAGGTCATCCACACCGAATACGCAAGATTCATATACGAGCTTTCCTAAAAAAAACAATAACAACTCACCGTACGGTCAGGGGAAGCTATTTTACCTCCACAGTCGTTGTACCACACTTGGTGTCTAGCTAAATAGTAGTTCATGCTTGCATTACGCAGCTTCGTTTCCACGTACTCATCGACTTCTGCTGTGTGGTTTTCTTGATAATCATCTACGAACTTCATCCACTTTTTAGCGCTTGTCCCACCAGGAACTGGGAATGCTTAAATGTATATTGTTTCTGCGTCTGGAAATGTAGTCAACGTACTCTCCCCATTGGCCGTAAGAGTTGCCCAAAACGCCTCGTCTGCAATGGACGTACCATTAAGGAAGTGCAGCAGCTGCCAACCTTTTTTTGCCTTCAAAGGATCAGAGTTGGAATGCTATACTTGAAAGCATCTTTCTGTTAAATTTCTTTGAAGTGCATGATTCTCTTCATCATAATAAGATGAGGGAATAGATATACAGGGTGTCCCAAAAGTGAGTACACACTTTTTTATCGTTAATAACTCTCTTCCCACTG